AGAATGTAACAATCCTAAACTTTCAAAAAAATAAATAAATAAATAAATAATAATAATAAATAAATAAATAATTCTTTATAGTAGGATGGTCCATATAAGTATTGTGATCTTTCACCACTTTTGTTAACTTTTACTTTCCTTTACCACTCATTTAGTGGACGTGGGCTTTAAACGTTTCATGTGTAATATAATTGGCACACCTCATGTATGAGGTATAACTTAATGAAATAATATAATAAGGTATCTTAAGAATTTAAATAGGAGAGGCGAGGACTCCCACCTTAGAAACTTTTCGAGATCTTTCTCTCTCTAGTCGAAACGCAGTGAGCTCTTTTTCTCTTTAGCCGAATTTTTTATCGGAAGCTCCCTCTCAAATATTTTAGGTAAGTGACTTCATTATCTTGAAAAATAATTCGTTCTTTTTAAAAATGAAATGGAATAATTACTTCTGCTTATTTTCACGAATTTTAGGCGTGATAAAGTTTATGCGCAAGTGACCTCATTATTTTAAAAAATAATCTTTTTAATAAAATTGTGATATTTTATCTATGTTAGAAATTTTAAATGCTATAAATTCTTATAAATAAATTTATTTATTTTTCTTGTCTATTGTTAGAAAATTTTAGATACTGTAAAATTATTAGAATAAATGTGATATTTCTGCTTTTAGTAAAATTGTGAGATTTCTTTCTACTATTTTTGAATATTTAGACATTGAAAATTTCATGTGCAAATGACTGCCTTATTATTTGAAAACTGATATTTTTGCATTTGATTATAGCATCATTTGTGAAATATTTATCTGCAAATTGACATCCCATAAATTGTGATAATTCTGTATTCTTAGATTTCTATAAGAGTTTTCTATGCATACTAGATTGGCAATTATGCTAGAATGTCCTTATGAACCGCTACCTTTCTAAATTCGAGCCCAAAATATTTGACTGGTTATTTTTTAAATGTTATTGAAAGTGACTGTTATTAATGGTTTCAGTGAAATTCATATTAATAATTTCAGTGATATGTTGAGTACATGATATTGCTGCTTCCGAATGTTTAAAGAGATTTAGAAATACTTTAAGTATGCAAGTGGACTCATCCGGTTTGTTGGTGAAGTATAAGTGGACCTATCTGGTACACCGCTAGGGATTAAGTGGACTCATCTAGTACGTTGGTGAGGTATAAGTGGACTTACAGAGATTAAGTGGACCTATCTGGGACACCGATAGGAATTAAGTGAACCCATCAGGACGCTGATGGGGTATATAGGTGACCTACTTGGGACGTCAGTAGGGTATTTTGTGAAATCTTTTGAATTATGCACTGCCGTTAAAATATTATATGCATTTCAATTATTCGAATTATACTTAATTATCCATGTTTTAAAGTGAAACTGTTAATGCACTTCTGTTAATAGATCTCCTTTTTGAAAATATTGATATCTTTCAACCATGATTATTTTTAGGATTATGATGATCACTTACTGAGTAGTCAAACTCATCAAATTATAGTAAACATTTTTTTCAGGATAATTGCGGTTTCATTTTGAGTGCTCGTCCAAATCAACTTTGGAAAATATTGTAGTTGTGCTTATACTTTCTTTTATTACTTTGTAAGAATTCGCCATTGTAAATTTGTTCTATCAAGAGATGTATATATGTTTTGACTGTCACATCTCAAGAATATCAATATTATAAATTCTTGGGGCGTGACTACTGTACTCCCCATGAAGAGTTATGTGAAGAGAAAAGTGATAGAAGGCCTAGGCATGGCAGACACACACTCTAAGGCTTTGATTTAGAGATGGACATTCCAAATTTTGAAGAGCATAATTTGACTCACGACCAAGGGAGAGGTAATATTGATGCTTGTGGATACAATATGGTTCGTGGTTCGTGATATTGAGGAGGCTAACCATGGAGAATATTTATTTTCATTGTTTAGGATTTTCCACCAATCTTCCACACATGCTAAGATGAGCAATAAAATCTCTTAGGATATCCATTTCATGGTAGGATTCAATATGAAGATCTCAAGGATCTCAAAGAGGTAGAGCGTTCAAGAGATTTAGGGTATTGGATTCAAAATAGCGTAGCGAAAGCATGATACATGAGGACCTTAAACTTTCCCTTAACTTGTCCCAAAGGTACATGAAGTGGGTTGCGTTACAAAGGCAGCCGACCCCAAATAATTGGAATAAGGGTTGGATGATGATGATGATGTGATGATTCAAAGAGTAATGAAATAGATGTTGAGAAATCCTCTAGAGGCCAGAAATCAGAAATTGAGTTTGAAGTTTTCTACATGATTTTCAATGTAAATTCAAAGATATCCAAATTTGATAAATTTGTATTGATTTTACAATAAATACACCAGAATTCGTTTCTTTAGAAAAAAAATTTACCACAAATAATGTTTGAGCCACCGAAGAAGAAGATTGCACAAGGTGATTTTGTTATTGAATTCATCTTAGCACACTTTAATACTCGAGGACGAATTGTCTCCAACCAAGAAAGATTGACACATGACAGATGCCTCTTTTTTAAAATTTTCTAAATAAATTTTGGGAATGTATTGTCAGAAATTTTTATGGTTTATATTTAGAGTTTTTAAACTTTTAAAGATTCTAGTTTTTTTTTTTCTTTTTTTTGTTTTTCCTTTTTTTTAAGGATTTTAAGAGTTGATAGGGCAAAAACGACATTACAAATTTTGTTTTAATTAAGACTTCTATTTCAATTAGAGTGAAAATTTCTTATGGTCTAAATAAGGCATTTATTATAAATAGGGACTGGAAGAGGGTTGAAGGAGATTGACGTGATTTTGAATTAAAAAAGAAAAGAGCTTTCTTAGGGTTTAAATTTCCTGGATTCTGTTGCACTCACATCAGTGAACATATTTCTTAGGGTTTAAATTTCCTGGATTCTGTTGCACTCACATCAGTGAACATTATTGCGTCGTCTGCGCAGAATAGATGAGTGATGAGATAGCGATGCTTAGAGATCTTAAAGCCAGAAATCAGGCCTATTGCACTTACCTCACACAACGTTACGCTGAAAGATTATGCTACTAGAATGAACAATCCCTACCTTAATCCTCTAGTAGCTTAGAAAAAACATGCCATTAATAATCTCTGAGAAATGAGCATTCGTGGAGCGGCTCATAATCCATTTTACTTTATTTAGCACTAAACCTGATTTTTGCCATTATTATAGAGAGAATACCCCAATCGACCCGATCATAAGCTTTTTTAAATCTAATTTGCATATAAGTCCAGATTTATTTTTCAACTTCCAATAATGGATACACTCCAATGCTATTTTTAGAGCAATATATGTATTATTATTTTTATTTTTATTTTTATTTTATTTTTTGAGTAATTCAATGGAGAAGACAGACCTCTACCTTTTTTTTTTCTTTTTTTTAAGTAGATTAAAAATTAGATTTTAAAAGTATTAGTAAGGTGACGTTAGCAGGAGGAGGAATGGAAACACAATGTGGCTAGACACCGCAATCCTTGAGCGCATTGTCGAATCTCCCCTCCCTCCCTCCCTCCCTCCCTCCCTCCCTCTGTGTGCGTGCGCGTACGTGTGTGCATGTACATATTTTTCTCGAGAGCCCTGATTTGCAAAGAAACTATCCACTTCTCTCAGCCTTAAAGGCTCTAGATTTCTGTCGACAAATGAAATCGTCATCACAAAAAGAGTATCCTGATGTACCCTTCGAAAAGTCGGCCTTCTCTCCACCTTATTTGAGGGCACTGAATTCATTATGGAGGAACATGATGAACACATTCCTTAATTAATTTCCCAAACCCCCCACATGTAGATCTTTAATTTGGTTTCAGAATAGTAACTATTTTTTGGAATCTCCAAATAGATCACCCATAAACATCAATACTATCCCACCATCTTTGCACATTTTCGAGTCACACCAACTCCAATCTTAACGGAGATGGGTCTGTGCTATGTAGATTGGGTCAAGGAGAAGCAACCATGGCCAGAATTTGTTTGATAGGTGTATTCTAAGTACACAAATCTCCCAATCTTAGGCTAAGTAAGAAACAGTTAATCCTAGTAATAACAGGGACTAATTAACAGTTTCTCCAAGTCATCCCTTCCTCGCACAAAATCCAACTAATTGATGTTAATCGATGAGCTTCAAGAATCCCCAAATCAATTTACAAAGTCATCCCATCCCTATAGCAGCATACATAGTGGAACTGGACAAAACCATTTCTCATTACACCAGAGATTTTACCTACAGAGAAACATAGAAAAAATTATCTTTTGAATAATGTTTGCAACAGACATTGCTCATGCTGAGAAACCAACACATAAACGCGAAAGTATGCTTCCTCGATCAACATGATTCCAGGCAATGGGTTCTCCTAAAGGTTGAATTCTTTGCTAGGATATATGTTTACAGCACAAAATCAGTTAAAATAAGTTTCTAATATCAGGTTTCTTATATCGGGAACTCTCATCTTCACCAGAGTGTATATTTCTAGTAACATCATGGTGAATATGTAATTTCCAGTAGTCATATTCAAGGTTACAAACTTCTGTTAAACTTAGCAGTACACGAAACCCCCTAAAATGTGAAAAACTTGTTTGATCAAATGGAAAAAAAAAATTATAAAGGAACGTCATAGAACAGTTCGTTACCCATTAAGATAAATTAATTCATAAATGATTCACAATCCGGCAGCAATTTATAGCACTCATATAGACTCATTCTCGGCTGTTCTTCCTCTAGAAGACATCAACGTTCTTATTCAAATCTACAATTATGTCCTTGAAGTCAGTTGAAGATAAGCTAAAAGCAAAAGAAGAAAAAAGACAACTTCGTTCTGGAAAAAAAAACAGAAATTTGGAAAGCAAACATATAAATCAGGATGTAGAATGAAATTCTTCAAAAAATTTCAGAGAATCTTACCAATAGTTAAAGGAATATGAGATGGTGACTAAATTCAGAATGCAAACAAATGATTTCACAAGAGCTGAATATAATACCACATCCATTACGAAATGCTTAAAAAATATTAAACATCTCGAGAGTTCTTAGAATATGTTCAATGACATACACTTTCTCCACAAGCTTCAGCAAACTGCCAAAACATAAAGAGAAAAAAAGGGCCCCAGCCTCAAATTGGTAGAAGAAATGACGGGGACAAGAAAGAAAAACAAATCCTTAAATGAGTAGACAAACCACTCTCCAAATATAAAAGAAGTGAATGCACTGGTATGTGTCTGGTGTCATCCGCAATTCAAAGTTCAAAGTATACCATACTCAGCTTCACTGCTCATCCGAAAATAAGAGATTGCTGACAATATAAATATGACAAAAGAAGAAAGATCCATAAACATGGCCCCCCACCCAATAATGCCTGCATGCTTCAAGATAGTTGGTATAGCAATGCTCCACACCACTATAATTCCAGTCAGGAACTTTGCTGCATCTACCCAACTGTTCAAAAATAAGCATGGAGTAACTATCAATCTCAATGCTATGTCAAACTTTTACTCTAACAAAAACCTTATCAGAGGTAGGTTGCAGAATACATGCCTACTAGTTTCACTTGAAAGTATAGAGGTTGAGTCACTTCCCAATAAAAACAAAGCAGGCATGGGTAGAAGTGCATATGGTAGGGCTGCAAAAAAGATCCACCAGTTATAAATCATTATTATCTATGAGATTAACTTCAAATAACACGCACTTTTTTTTTCTCTCGCTTTAATCCTACCAGACAGCATCGGCCACCAATTGCTGTACAAAGCACATGCCTGCAACAACATGGAGTTCTTCTCAAAGCCTACTTTAAAAATGCTTTTTTGTTGAAATCTTAAGAATGAACCTGTCATTCTATTAGGCATACAACGATCCACATGTCATGGTATATTATAATCACGAGGGTCAGTATGATGTAAACTAAGATCAGCAACTCACTAGTCTTCAATTAAAAGACCCTAGTTAATTTGGTCCTATAGAAGGCTGTGATGCCCTCATCTCATCGCCATCCCATGAATGCATTCGACATCAATGTAGGCAGACTGGGTCCCAATGAAAATGTCACTAATTCAAAGGCTCCTTATTAAAGCACCCTTAGGATATGGTTGACTTCAAACACTACACCCATCTCATTTTCCACAACCATGTCATACTCAGTAGGGGGGTAGTTTCTGAATTGTCACCTCCACCAAAAAATTTATCTTTTTTCTCTCTATTATTTCAAAATATCGTTTTCCCAAAACACCATTATTTTACTATTCAGTTTCTAAAACCCATAAGATATTGGTGTTTGTGAGATATTGGTGTTACAAACACCAACATCTCAAGTTACTTTTAACAAAATGAAGAAAAGAAGGTATCAAGTATTTCAAAAATATGAATATCCTCTAAATGTAGAATGTTTTAAAATGGGGGGTCTACAGACAAAGGAACAAATTAGGTAAGTGTCCCTTCTGCCAGTTCAGACATAATATACAGATAGGTGCTCTCTTAATATCCATGACTCATATGAGGGCAGTGTTAAAATAAGCAACTCTTAATGGTTCTCTGAGAAAAAGCACTTAATAAGTTATTTCAGTTGTACACCCAACTCTCCCTCTATCGTCAACCAACCCATCAATTGGACAATGATGACCCTCACACCATACTGTTTCCTCAATCATATGGATCATAGCATACTTCCTCTTCTGTTAACCTTAGAAGATTACAAATACTTTACCAAGATTTGAAGTACAATTCCAGCAGAGACCATAACCGCCAAGCCAGCAAGATTGAAAGAGTGCAAGCAGCTAAGAACATAACCTGGACAGTCCCCCATTTTGTAGGTACACTCAATTTAATAGGATTTACCGTTGGGGAAGACTAGCAACCAAGCACACTTGCTCCTCTGAAAGGACATAACCAGGTTCCCATTAAAGCCCCCACAATTAAATCAGACTTTGCAATCTATACAACTGATTATTGCACAAAACTTAGTAGGGGATCACAAAACTGAGGAAATCAGAAGATTTGCATAATAAACAGAGAATACATGAGAAGGGAAGTTTGACAGAGCACACACGTACAGGCTTTCTGGTGATAGATTTGGGTGACATGAGCCAGTTACCCAATACCTCCTTCCTTCTTCAAGTGTGTGTGCCCTATACCAGAAGTATTAGTTGTGGGTACTCCTACAACAGTTTGCGGATATTTCCGAAAAGTATGTACTGACCTGTCTGAAACCCAAACCAATACATATGATAAACATGGATCAATATAGTAGAAACCCATACAAGCATATTATAAACCTGTATCAGATATGTATTAGGAACCCATACCATTAAACTTAACGACACAGAGAGAGAGAGAGCGAGAGAGAGAGAGAGAGAGAGAGAGAGGAGGAGGGGACGAGAGAGAGAGACACACACAGAGACAGAGAGAGAGTAGTTTGAGCAAAGCTTTTTGAGCCTATGAGAATTGGCAGAAGGAAAGATATGCGTACTACTACTATATTTGACTGATTATCCCTATGGCCAATACGGGACAATGTAATTAGCATAATATGAGGTATGAATATTCCATGAATTTGGAAATGGGCACTTGTTCATAATGTTCTTTGGATTAGTAACTGAGATTTCTGGTCTATAGCAGGATTGATTTAAAATTAAATCAAAAAAAGCATGTGCATATTTACAATGGTAGAGATACCAATTGAGAATAGTTCATAACTATTGCTCCTGGTATCATACCAATACAAGCACACCAATTGCACAGAAAACCGAACAATCTTTTGTAGAAATTGTAAAACTGAGTTCTCTAAAAATGGAACTTAAACTTTTCACGCCTTTGTGTACCAGAACCTTGTAACTAGGGCCAGATAAACATAGTCATATAACCACAAGGAACGTTGAAATCCCAGAGAGGGCCCAAACTCAGAGCCGATGAAGCTTATTCATAATTAAAATGTACCACATGTAGTCCTGCACATTTATTTCTTCTGTGATGGGCACATTGTGAGATTAACAAAAAAAATTGGTTGCTTTCCTTGCAAATTTTAATTTTTTATTTTGTGATACCTTTACTTAGGCGTATCCAAGCAATTTCACAGACAGAATAAACCATGCTTGTCAATGAAAATGATTGCTTGAGCTCAAAGACGTTGATGCAACATAAAAGTGGATTGTACGGAAACTTGTGATAAAACAAGTAGCAATGGATCCACCTATCTTCACAAAGTTAAACCAATCCTCATATGTTGATGGAACAGGGCAGGAATTCAAGAGAAGAAAAGAGCCACAGTACACAAAAGCTTACTTGGACTACTGTAAATGTATCATCCAATCTCAAGAGCAAACTGAGAATTCGTTAAACAGAACTGCTTGGGTCTATGAGATTGCCCAAATCAAAACAAAGCATAGACTGATAAAAATGAACAACAAGACCCCATTATCAGATAGAGAAACAGAGAAAATATACAGATTTCAGAGTAAAACATACGAAATAAGCTGCAGTTCAGCAAGAAAAATTCAAAAAAAAAAAGGAGAAATAATACACAGTGAAACATCTTACTGCAACCAAATATCAGCAATGGAGATTTCAACGATAAATATGAAAAAATAATCAGCTAAGACAATGAAGATAGAGAGAGTATTCAGATGAGAAACTCGATATATCCAGCAATCATCACACAAACTGATCGAGAAAGACATCCATATTCAACCCTATGAACATTAGAGAGAGGATAAGACAATGAAGATAGAGAGAGTATTCACATTAGAAACTCGATATATCCAGCAATCATCACACAAACTGATCGAGAAAGACATCCATATTCAACCCTATGAACATTAGAGAGAGGAAAAGAAATGAACATGAACACCTAAGGGAATTCACCACAAACAATCAGTTCAATTATAAAATTGGACAAAGATAAAATGTTAAACGAAATAAACATCAAAGAAATTGGGGGAAGAGAGAGAGGGAGAGACTTACCTTAGAAAAGCAAAGACCAGTGAGCCGTGTGGACGGGCGAGGAGGACGGGCTTTACGATTCGCAGAGAGAGAGAGAGAGAGAGAGAGAGAGAGAGAGAGAGAGAGACGACGCGTGTACGAGAAGANACACAAGAAGGAGGAGACGTACGGGTCGGGTCGGTACGAACTAGTAGTGTACCGTACCGAACGACTAAACTAAAACTAAACAAC